GTCGACCTTCAATCTCCGCTCTACTTTACCATATATTTGTTTTTCCTTTTTCTAAAATAATATCGTCTTTTTATTCAAAAGCGAAATGTTTCCGTAGTAGTTCTTGAATGCTTACCGACCAATTAGAGAATAGCATTTCGCATTTATTTTTTCCTATGTGTGCGTGGTAATACTCATAATTGATCGAAATGAGAGCTTTCGATCGCACGTGGAGCCTTTTGAATGTATAAAGGTATCACATTAACGATATAAAGCGATTTTAAGCTTCCATAATAAAAATTTGAAGTGGACTCGGATCTGGACCTGTGTTGCAACACTTAAGTATTTACAAAAGGTTAAAAGTACTTTAGTAAAAAATGAGATTGGGATATAAATGTTATTTGCCAAATGGATTTAGTTTACGAGTTCAGATGCATTTACTAAACGACGTGAACTTGGTACGTAATAAAGTATTAAAATGAAATTCCATAATTATAAGATTTGCATTCAAAATTTGGGTTAAGGTTAAGCAAACATTTTTGTTCTGCTGAAATTAAATGTTTGTTCTTAATTGTGGATTCCGTACAAATTTTATATTTTTTTCTTACTTTGTTTTAATATATTTTTTCTGAACAGCAAATAGAACTCGACATTTCTATGAGATGTTGCGATGGCTTTTTTTAACAATGTCGCTCTTGCAGAAGGCAACTTAATGGTTGAACTGATTCTTTATTTGATATATTTTTATTATTAGAACTTATCTAACAATAAGATATATTTTTAAGTTGATACTGCAGTGCATCAGGAAGAGCTTATTTTACTTGGCAACATATTTAGACCTATATTTTCAAGTAAAAACTGATATCCTTACTATTTGATAAAGTTTTAGATTGCAATGACAAAGCTCTTACTACTAAGCCACGACAAGAAAACACACAATAAAATAAAAAAAATACGATTGAAAATATGCCGTGTTGATATAAATTCATATTATGTTAATGAAACCATGCCCATAGGGTAAGGCGGGTCACAAAGGTCCACTTGACTTGTAGCAATTATACATTAAAAAACCAAACAACTACATCCAAACAAATAGCATATAAAACAAACAACTATGTTCAGTAAAATTCCCAGCTAATTCGTAATTGTGGAACTATTTTTGTTTCTTTTTTAAAAAAATATCACGTTGTTCTTTTTACCCCATGAGATGATGGGATCAAAAACAGTTTTCTCTACCTTTTTAGATCTTAGTATTTTTGATTTTTCTTCAGCCATTCATGAACTATGTACTGAGTGAGCATATAGAGAAATACCACATTTGTGCAATAATATTAGAACAAAAGTATTTTAGAAAAAGTATCGGCTTTAGAAATTA